TTTAAAGGAAACTACTTATTAAAATGTACATAGCCAAAATATGAATATACATTGCCCTTAAAAATTGTAATTTTAGGTTTACCCTTCCCTAGTGTTTTTTTTTTTTTGCTCTGCTCATACACGCCGACAATGGCTTAGAAAAAATTGGTAACACGTTTGAGTTATTATGATCAGGTTTGATAAAACACGTTTCTTCACTGTGCGATGTTAACTATATTCTGCTGTCGACATGAACGGATTTTCATTATATTTGCAGCAACTGGTTTTCTCTCGATACTTCATGCCACAAATTGTATGTACCCTGGATTTTATGCATAATTTTTTCCATGAAGATATAATTTATGTATTCGTGAAGTATAGATCATAACTAATCGCCATTAAAGTCAGTTATGCAATGGTAAACATCTTCAAACTCTAAATGGCAAATAATATTAAGTGACACTTCTCTTAACCATCACTGCATGCACCTCTAAAGACCACCGTTCACGTCGTTCATGTATGGATACAAGAGACGAGACCGATTAAGCTCTACAGAAGGACTTCATAAATAAATGGAAAATGTCCATAATTCAGGTGCCGTGGTGTTTATAGCGCTGATAACTTCTGCTACCGTAATGGACTCTTCGGCAAAAAAGCTGTCGCGTTTATCTCCATAGCACGCGCTCTGATTGCGCGCCCATGCAGACGTCGCTTTAGACAGGCATTTGGTGGTGATCAGGGGCCATACTTTCAAAACTCGCTAAGTGAACGTAAGTATTTACGCTCTATTTTCTTGTCTATGATTGGTGGATTTTGCTTGAAAGGCCTTCAATGATTGGCTGATGAACTTACGATCTCTTAACTTTTTTTGGAAGTAGATGATGATTGGTGTAGATGTATATGATTGGTGGATTTTGCTTGAAAGGCCTTCAATGATTGGCTGATGAACTTACGATCTCTTAACTTTTTTTTGAAGGTATAGACCCTGAGCTGTAGGAATACATGCACTTAAAAGTGTGAGGAAGCTAGATTGAAGACCAGAGAATTCTTTATAATAATTATTTTCTTGGTATTTTAACAAGATCAACATTTTGAAAATTATTTGCTGAAAAAAAAAAGCAAATGCGTCTGCTTCTGTTGCGATGCGAATCAATTAATTGGATGTTCATAGACAAAAGAAAGGCTAGCAAATTGCTAGTAACAACCGCGCATCAATGTTTTTCATAGACTATATTTGAACTTTTCTTTTGTTAGCAATTGCTCTAGTATCCTTACTAATATGATTTGCTGTTCCCTATAGAATTGACAGCAACATGAATGTGACATTATGAACCATATGTTTTGTAGGAGTTTTAAATTACTGCCAGATGTAGCAATGGATCGATATTTTTTACACTTTACAGTCTCCTTGTATAACAACCAGCTATAGTCAGAGGATCACATCTACCATGTATTGCAGATACCTAAGTAATATATACTGGTATAACTATTGACCATTACATATTATGTGCTGTAATCTCAAATTCAACTGGCATCTTTAGCCATGGCACGGGGCCTTAGCACGCCGTAATCTTTCCAATAATAATCTGCTGGTGATAGAAATAGAACACTGATTGATTAGCGTTGCAATGTCCCCCCATGTACTTAATAGATACGGTAACTACTCAAAGTACTTTTGATTAGTTGCAGTTTCCGTGCATTGCTGCTATCAACCACAATAGATTATTACTTGTTTGTTGCAGTTTCCCATACATATAAGCATGGGCTAGCAACAGCCTGGAATCATGGCCTAATGTCAATAGTTACCTTGTAGCTCAATTTACTGCATTTTGCTGTCTCTCCATATAACTGTTCGAAATAGCTTTGAATACTACTCGTTGCTCATGCAATTTCCCTATAAAAATAGCCCGTTATAACATTGGATTCCTACTTACTTTGCGTTGCACTTCCAGTATAAAAATGCTTGCCATGGTAATGGAGCGATACTTGCAGTGTGCATGCGCAGTCTTTCCTTGAAACTACTATAGCGATAACTTTGGATCACTACTTACTGCGCGTTGCAGTCTCTCAATAAAACTGCTATAGCGATAACCTAGAATGCTTACTGCGCGTTGCAGTCTCTCCATAAAACTGCTTTAGCGTAATTTAGCGATAACCTAGAATACTTACTGCGCGTTGCAGTCTCCATAAAGCTGCTATAGCGATAACCTAGGATCACTACTTACAGCGCGTTGCAGTCTCTCCATAAAACTGCTATAGCGATAACCTAGAATGCTTACTGCGCGTTGCAGTCTCTCCATAAAGCTGCTATAGCGATAACCTAGGATCACTACTTACTGCGCGTTAATTGCAGTATCTCTAAGACTTACAATGGTCTTGGATTACTACTTTCTAATCACTAATTCTGTACTGCAGTGATTGCGATCTATCTGACGGAATGGTTGAAATGCAGCATAATTGTGAAATTTTCTGAATTAATTTTTTAACTTATCGCAAATTATTGTTGTATAGGTATTCAATTTATTAATTGGTGATAAACTTAAATTCCACTAGAAATTTTATCAAGATTTTAATTAGGTTGCCCTGTTTACCTGAAACCTCGTGAGGATAATTCAAACTTAAGCTTTACATTTTTTTTTTGTATCGAGAAGATTTTAATCTCGAATTTCCTCTTATTATAATTTAACAGTGATTCTTATGCACTCAGATTCGCTATATCGACGAATAGCTGCTTGTATCTTGTTAATGTTAATTTAGTTTCAGCCTTTAGGTGGAGATCGTGCAAGATCTATTTGAGTCAACCATCGATCATAGCCCTTGTAAATTTTCTTTAGAGATGTGAACAAGTCTCTGTATTGCGCTCTTCCTATTTCGATTGTAGTCATCATTGCCAATAACGACTGAGTTGATGTGGGGTTCATACCCAAGAATATTTTACTTGAAATTCACAAATTGTTAAATAATATTGTCAACTACCATCCACATTGAATTGCATATTGAAATCGCATTGAAAGGTCAATCGGCCGTAGAATAAATACGTATATCCCCTGGTCATTGATATAGTGCCTTTTCACAGCCTATCTGCACACACAGATAGTGCCTTTTCAGCACTATCTGCAGGAGGTGATTGATTATAGCATTATCATTTATTTGTCAAATTTCAAGTGAAATATTTATGGTTACCCTAAAAATTACGAAGAATATTAATTTTTTTGCTAACGAGCTACCGGATTTTTTCTAAATTTTTCTATTTCATCTCCTGACGATCAGCCAAAAATTTGATACTGTCGCTCTTTTCCATATTAATCGTAGCTATCGCATTCTTTTATATTTAATTCATTTAAGACGCTCAGTATCATATCAGTATCACATTTTATCTTTTCTAATAATATGCATACATAAATAACGAGAACAATACTCTGATCATATGTAGACAACGCATTTGACTTATACCGTTAACCATCACCTTGAAGAGTCCATAAAATTCAAATAAATACAGCTGAGCCCAAAATGTCATAAAATGTATTTCTTTAATTAACTGATAATAACCAGAATGTTCGATGTAGCCCTCAAATGTTTTCCTCGTTATCAGTCTATATAATCGTGGTTGGAAGTTTCTGGATCCGGTTTTGTTCAATGCCTATAATGCCGGCTCCTCGAGTAAACTTATTGTCCTTTTGATGTTTCCAAACGCTGCATTTACAGTCGTGTTGATGCTTCCAAACGCTGCATTTACAGTCGTGTTGATGCTTCCAAACGCTGCATTTACAGTCGTGTTGATGCTTCCAAGCGCTGCATTTACTGTCGTGTTGATGCTTCCAAGCGCTGCATTTACTGTCGTGTTGATGCTTCTAACTGCTGCATTCACTTCCGTGTTGGAGCTTCCGGTCGCGGAATAAGAGATTGTTTAGTAGAGAAAAATATGGCATATGGAGTAAAAGATGTCACATTTAGTAAGAGACACCATGCTGGTGTAGAAGATATATAGCATGATTGAGTAAAACATAGCTTGCTGTAGTTGAAGATCATTCAACATGCAAAAAAAAGCATCGGAAGATTTTGTTCGTGGGAATTATTATAGATTTATCGTGACGGTTGTTTGATTGTTTATTCCATGAATCTTGCTCCACTATGTAATATAATTGTTGTTGCTATGAAAAGCGGCTCTATGTAGCACCGTTAATATTGAGAGGTTTTCATATTTCCAGCGCGATGCACTCGTTGTTAACAATTTCTCATGAGGAACTTCGAAAGAATTACGTACTTGCTAAAATGGTTTCTTAAGCGTTTGAAAAACACTACTGTGCTCGCGTAAGTTGACGGTAATGCTACTCTGGAACACTACTCAACTCTTTAAACGCTAAATTTTGGTCGCTTACGTCGTTACAAGTCGTCGAAGAGTTTCTGGTCATTTTATAGACGAGCTTGTTTGTTTGGAAACCGCAGTTATGCGAAGGCACTTGTGTCGTCACGGGCTGGCGATGCCGAGTACGCCATGACCCTGGCTTGGTATTGGCCATCGGCTGGCGGTTGTTCCTGTTGCAGCTTGTATGCTCCGCCCCCTCTAGGGTCATCTGCTCACTGCCATACGCTTCCAGGAGCTTCTTCACTATAAGTTTGTTATCATTCATGATATAACTTGATAAGACTTTTCATCTGTTGAAGAAATAAAGGTTTATGTGAGATAAGATGCGAAGTGCGTACCGTTAAGATCACAAAAAGAATTGCATGTGAACAACACTGGTACGGAAAGGGTTGATCGAGTTGGGTTCATTCGCAGGATCATCTTTCCATGACTCGAGCACAGTTCACGCAGGAGAGTCATTCAGCTGGGAGAGGCGGTGGAAGGAAGGTTGTTCTTGCTGGCCTCCAACCACCGACTTCTGAGTGCCCTTGTTCTCCGTGGCCACGTGTATTATATCGTTAATATCGGAGTGGCACAGCAAAGAAGTAATACTTTTTCTCTTGTCTAACATTGAGCCGATGAAATTATTGTTTGACGATATATGGGTGCGCGAGATTTCTCATTCGTAGAGTAGCTCCATGCATAGAAAGAAAAGTGTAAACAAGCTTCTGCTTCTGACTTTCTCCTGGTGCTGCGGTTTGTTGAAGCTTTCTAATTGTCTTTGATGAACTGATGACTTTTCGGCTCTGCAAGTTTATCCATCAGAGGTGCACTTGAAAGTTGCCAACTCCTCGATTTATCGTCATGGCTTTGGATGCTAGTGTATTTCGTTGGCTTGATCCATTGGAGTGTGGAGTCGATACAAACATTGGCGATGTGAGTGGATTTTTTGGAAGTGGTGATGCGGGCTCGTGTGATTATAACACAAACGTTGCATTTTCAAATGACTGTTTTGAAGGTCTCAGTGATGGGTGTGTGTCGCCTTCCAGTGTAAGTCCTGCTATTTCGGAAACTCCTCACCAAAATTTTCCGTCCAAACTTCACCAATCACGAAGACATGAAGCTCCTTCGTCTCCCATGGAGGGATATACTCCAGTGTCTCCGGATTTTGTTGAACTCCAACCACTGACTTTTGAAAACCTCACTGCCGCTGGGCAGAGGGATTATGCAAAGAACGCTGTGACTACAGATGATACTCAGCTATTTTATTCTGGATACGAATTTAATGATTTTACCTCTAACCATCACAATTTTTCAAATGATACGCCACCATCGACGGTAAATTCAGAAATTGTAATTAAACCATCAAAATTTTCAACCGAACCAGAACGTTCTCTACCCACTGAAATATGCAGTCCGAATTATGAATATTTTACTCCTGGAGAACAAATATCTGTCAATCCCCCAACGCTAATTACAGACTCTGTAAATGTAAGAAGTCCAATCGTTCAATCGGAACCAATAGAAGAACCTAAAAGTGAAGCCTACAAACCTGTAAGTTACGACGATTTTTTCCCTGACCATTTGTTAGATGGAAATGCCCCGAAAGAAGATGACTGGCCTGGTCAAAATATTACTTCGGATTGTATTAATTCCTTCGAATCAAGCCATGGCCTATTAAGCAGTGAGTCTAACTGCACGTTACCGAACAGCCTAACATCGTCGGTGTTACCGCCGATTTCTTCTTTGCCGCTAATGAGAGACGATGATGAAGCTCGATTGCCTGAGAAGAAGAAGAAGAAATTAAGCTTAGCCGCTCTTCTAGCCAGGGAACCCACAACTATCATTAAAGATAATATCAGCTACCGTAATAGGCAAACTGGTGGGGAATCTTTGAACCTGGAATTTGGAAAATCATTCCCGGATGACAATTATGAATCCTCAAGCAGCGATGTCCCCAATCAAATGAGCCAAGGCAAGAAATGTGCAGTTAGCAATAGCGGGGCAACAGGTCGAAAAGTGAACGCCTGTCGATCTTCGGCTGCATCCGCCGAAAACAAAGCATCGACCGTTCGTTGCAGGAGTGAAACGCCTTCAGAAATTCTGCTGACTTCGAGAGGCATCGTGTCTCCAGGAGATCCTTGTGTGCTCAGAAGCCCCTCGTCAGTCATGAGAATAAGCTTGAAGCCACAGCGAGTGGTGACCCGTGAAGTTAAAAGGAAACGCCGAGACGCTGCCAATAGACGCGAGCGACGGCGCATGAATGGCCTAAATGATGCATTTGAGAGACTTAGAGGCGTCGTACCTACGCTTGGCAGCGACCGAAAATTGTCCAAATTTGAGACCTTGCGTATGGCACAGACGTACATCACAGCACTTAATCAGTTGCTCAAAAATGCTGGGGTTAATGAACTCAAGTGATTTGTCTGCAGTCCGTACGATTGCTGCTAATTCTCCTCCAAATTTGGTAGCAAAAATAAATATCACTGTTTTTAATTTGACCCTGGGCTTTCATGCGTGTTCAGTGTTAACTTGCACATATTTCAACACTTACGGTTATTTTAATTGGCACCTTGTTGTATAACACTTTTTAGAAGAATGCTAATGTTGCCAGACCACTTACATTGTATCATATCAAAAATTTCAGATGTATAATTTTACAATATAAATAATCCAAGAACTATCATTTTAATATTGTCTTTGCTAGCTGATGTTTTAGTCCAACATATACCTTTCCACCATACGCCATAATTATATAGGTTCAACCTAAAACATATTCGTATATAAAACTGAAAGTTTGTTCATTAGCATAAACATAACTTTACGTGTCCCATTGGGTTTCGTCATTAAAGATCTTCTTTGTGAAAAAAAATCGACTGAATCTCTTCAGCCGACATTAAATTTAGTGAAGTACTTTTGATTTATTACATTTGAAACTAATGTGGGTGAGTTATAGCATATGTGTGTCTACAAAAATCTAAATTGCAATTCACTTCTTGGATCTAATAACGGATCTTTACTCACTATTTATTCATCATCTCAATTCTACCTTCCATCATTGTCAACTAACTGGGAAGTTCATCGTTATGTATCAGCCAATTATTATGAATCTTATGTTTGATTAGGATATTAGATTATTCCATTGAATAAATTCATTATACAAACGTAAGATTATATATTTATGTTCTGGATAAGTCTAATTAGAATGAGATGTGAGATTGGGAGAGAAGCATAGTTTTCGCTTTGCGAAAACATACTATTATTATTACGAAATTATTTACGAATTTTGATCTTAGTATCGAGTTTACAACGCTAAATATTGTTTTAAATATTCGGAAACGTGGCTGCCAACAAATATTTTGTAGAATTTTTCCTCTCTTGCTAATTTGGATCCTTCCATCATATGTTGCAACTTCTTGTTTCTGGTGACTTAATAAATTCATTAGTTTTGCTTTGGGTCTATATTTCAAGTCCTCCATAACAGGGCTTTCAACTCCGAAATTGTTTATCGATATTTTATTCATAAAATTATGTTGGAAAATTGAAATTGACGTCCAGACTTATCAAAATAAATTCACTTTCAGTTTCAACCTGACAAGAAAAATCCAACTTTCGAGTTCGTATTTTGCGTTGGTGATACATCAATAAATGATACATTAATTAATAAATATAACTTTATTTTCAATATTTTGGTGCATGTCACTTGAAAATTTCATCACCGTATTTTCTTGTAATTGTGCCTGGCTAGGTAAATATCATCACCACATATGGTAAAAAATGTTCAATTTAAACGCCAGTAGTAATATGTTCATGTTAGAATAGCTCCCTTTCGTCGCCAAGTCTTTGCTGCATCCTTTATGCACATGCGTTATACTTATTTGTGTTCACTAAAGTTTACTGTTATTTTGTTATTGTTTGCTTATTTTGTGTTATTTTTCTGTTTGTAATGTGCAACTGCGTCTTATTTATTCCTGTGATCTGCTTAAGTTTGGTCACTTAATATGTGTGTTTGTATTAATATGTGTGTTAATATGTGTGTTTGTAACGTGTCTATTCTATATGTGTCGGATGTATTTTTAAGTATTTGTTTGTGTGTTATGTGTAGTATGACAGTGTTAGTTATGGCCATTCATTGTTGGATTGCCTTAGTAGTCGGCCATTTCCTGATCGTTTACAGTTTAATTTTCCTTCTTGCCTTTGTTCCAATATTGTCTTTGTTGTTTTATGTTCCAATATTGTCACGGAATATTACGCGAGAAATGTCCGCGTAAAAAAGACAGCGTTTGTAAAGAAAGACAAATCTCGGATTGTTCAAAGTGGCAAAAAATCTTGCAAAAGGCATGGAAATATGGAGGCATTATCAAGTCAGTAGCGTGTATTGAAAACTCGTTATCTCTAGTTATCGCATGAAACTCCTGCTTCGTAATTTTTGATTAGTAGCTAATAAGATCTCTTATCTGGATAATTATTTATATCAGACATCGTTAAGTTAATCCTGCCAGTTAAACGGCGATCTGTTGCAGCTTCAGTTTTTTTGAATGGACGTTTTCTGCGTGCATACTACCGCATGTGTATTTTAATGTTATGGATGTAACATTAAAATACATATGCGGTGTTACGGATATAATTTATTTTCATGTTTCTGCACGTTACGTACTCGTCTCTTTTTTATTGTTCTATGTATACTCATTTGGTTTAGCTTTGGCTGCCTATTATTTTGTGTGTGTGTAAACTCAGCAACATATCTTAATTCTACATTTAATTTACGTTCATGTGTAAATTATACCATAGTTATTTATTATCAGTACTCTAATTCATATCACGTGCGTTATCTGTAGCGGAAATTTGTCTTTAATATATTTTTTGTGTCGTTTGTGTATTGATGTCTTATTGTTTTATATGTTTTATGTCTTTTTAAAAGGCACACATTTAATATCACGCAAATGAATAACTTATTTGTTAATCCCGCTATTTATTCATTTTTATGCCTTGCTAGCACACAGAGTTCCTTTGATTTACCATCTGATTGTGTGTTATTTCATTTTGCTTTTGTTCAAAGAAAGTTTCTTATATTTTTCAACATTCAGGAAAATATTAATGTCTTGTCGATCAGCGCTAAAACATTGGTAAATATTTAGCCAACAAAAATAATTTTTCCAATAATAAACAAATTTTGTACTTAGAAAAAATCTTACATTCGCCGCAAATTGAAATTTTTATCTATCTGTATATTATGGTGAGAAAATCATCTGCATAAACGAGCTTTTTTCAATTTTTTGGTACTCAATTTGATGTTTAATAATTACAGCTAATATATGCGAATCCTGCCTAGATTACCACTACACACATGGGCTTATACTTTCGAAAAAGTTAAGAGATCGTAAGTTCATCAGCCAATCATTGACGGTCTTTCAAACAAAATCCACCATCATAGACAAGAAAATAGAGCGTAAGTACTTACGTTCACTTAGCGAGTTTTGAAAGTATGGCCCATGGTTAGGTGAGGTTGGCTTAGGTTTACATTAAAGTCTAAGGTTCTCATGGTAGTTGCCTGTGGCTAAAGACTAGTTAATAAAGTGCATAATACATTGAATAAGTTATACAGTGCATATCATGCGCATATTATATGACTAAATAATATTTATAATATGCATATAGCATATGCAGATAATTACCTTACGGCATAGTGACCACCGACCAAACGAGCATTATTCATATCATGGCTTTACAAATTGTTTTCTTTTAATGTTTAGTGTTGTTGCAGTTCAATGTTGATATGTTAATATGATTTGTTTACAAGATTCCTGTGATAAGTTGATTTATTGAGTGTTGTTGTTGTTGTTATTTATTGATGAAGCCTCTCTTTATAGCAAATATTGTTTTTTCCTAATAAATATCTTTGTAATCCATCATTAAGTTGTTTTTTTAACATTGCTCTAAATTTCGGCTACGAATTATTTTCAAAAATTGGGTTCTGAGCGGAAAAATGTATTTTTTTGGTTATAATGATGATTTAAATATCTGTTGGCGTCTAGAACCGTGAATGCCGATGATACTTTGCAAATATAATATTGGTAATAAGATACTTGACAATTATTGCTAACATATGGTATTTTGCAATAATTGATGATATGATACTTGGCAATCATTCATCTATCTTCGTATCGTTAATATTTAAAGAATTGCTCGTTCATTTATACGCCTACCGAAGCATGGCTACCTCAATGAACGGCTAGCGCTGTCTCAATTGATTTTTGTACTCTAGTATTTGTGAAAAATCTACTCGTTCCCGCACATTTTTAAATAAATAGAACCAATAAATGAGGTAAATAATAATAACAATCATTATAAAGTAATAATCATAATATAATGAAGTAAAATTATAATCAGGCTACGAGGATTATGATCGTATCAAAAATTATGCAATGATTATATCCCGAACAAAGTTACCGAGTATCGCGTGTAGAAGTTTTTGAGGATCCCAACATCTATGATGAAGATGACCCAACACCTACATGATACAATGATGGCCCAACACCTACATGATACGATGATGACCCAACACCCACATGACACGATGATGACCCAACACCTACATGATACGATGATGACCCAACACCTACATGACACGATGATGACCCAACACCTACATGATACGATGATGNCCTGTTGTGTCTGTGCTCAGTACCGTGCCTAGCAATGCACGGTGTCTGTTAACTCCTGTTGTGTCTGTGCTCAGTACCGTGCCTAGCAATGCACGGTGTCTGTTAACTCCTGTTGTGTCTGTGCTCAGTACCGTGCCTAGCAATGCACGGTGTCTGTTAACTCCTGTTGTGTCTGTGCTCAGTACCGTGCCTAGCAATGCACGGTGTCTGTTAACTCCTGTTGTGTCTGTGCTCAGTACCGTGCCTAGCAATGCACGGTGTCTGTTAACTCCTGTTGTGTCTGTGCTAAGTACCGTTTAATATTGAAATTTTCTTTATAATTACAATGCCGATATCATTTTCATATCTAATGAGAATTTATTTCTTTATCTTGAAAGACGCTTGAAGAATTCATTAAGGTTACAAGCCTCATATGGGTCACTTGTTCAATACAATTACTTTAATGGTAAAACATATTCACCGATGACGTCTGAGAAAATTTGCAAACATAGGCACTCGATCATAATGATGTTAATCACTCGTGATCATTTCCTTTTGATTTCCTATTTAAATTTTGAGATACAAACCCTCCCCAATGTAATTGATATTTAATTGAATGTTTTGAGTTTCTTGTTGATATTTTTATCATCTCAGTTTGCAGTGCAACGAGTTGTCCTTCTTTCGCTTGAACATTTCCTTATTGAAACAATTCAAATATTTTCACGTATATTTTAGAATAGATTGTGTTGTGAAAGTGTTACCAGCGTTCCAGATAATTACGTGGGTCATAAATAATCACCCAAGTCCTCAATAATTACCAGAGACATTAATAATTACCACTGGCACAGGATAACTATTTTAGTACCGAACTAGTACCTTCCCATATAACACTATACCACTCGCCGAGTGTAAACATGGATTAAGCATGTAAATGAATTGTTTGATTTCTGTTTTCTATAATGAAATAAATTCTTCCAAAATTCTTAAAAAGTAATTTTAATTAAAGTAATTTTTATATATTAATTACATAATAATATTAAAAATAATAACAATAATAATAATTTATCGCCGAGTGTAAACATGGATTAAGCATGTAAATGAATTGTTTGATTTAGGTTTTCTATAATGAAATCAATTCTTCCAAAATTATTAAAAAGTAATTTAAATTTAATTCATTTTATTAATTTAATTCAATAATAATATTAAAAATAATAACAATAATAATAATTTACAAGGGACTTGTCGTGATCACAGCTGCTAGCAGGTGTTTATCGATCGCTGCCGTCTCACGCCGCTCGTATCCTGCTGGCACATCGGTAGCAGTTCCCGGAATTTCATTGATTGGTAAAATTCGTCGGTATTCTGAGCATAAGTGCAACTGATTGCTTTGTTCGCAGTCGTGCCTGCTGGCAGTTCTCAAAAATAAACAGTGAAAATGAGTAGTGTTTGGTATGATCGTTCAATTTAATCGACAATCTAAACTGTTTTTTACAGTTACAGGCATTATTTTTACCTGGCAGTTCTCAAAAATAAACATTTAGAATGAGTAGTGTTTGGTATGATCGGTCAACTTGATAGACAATCTAAACTGTTTTTTACAGTTACTGGCATTATTTATAAGGACACATTTATTTCTCATGTACATTTATTTACTGGATAATTATTTCTGCTTCAAAGTAACTGGTGTGATCTAACGTATTAGCGTTATGCTTCAAGTTATGCTGAAATTTTATTCTCCCATTAACCTTGTATCAAAACTCGTCAATTTCTTCTTTTCCGAATTCTTAAACTGAGATTTGAACTAGTGAAAAGGTAAATAATCAAGCACTTAATGAACCATTGTTACCACGAAAAAAAAAAGACCCGAATTCCTTCATTTCGATGTTCTCAAACGGGCCTAATTTTCTTATGTTTTTTGTTAATTTGTAGATGTTGGAAAATAGACAAAATGAACCTCGTGAAGACCACATATATATATTTTTTGCTCAAGAGTTAACACGCGATCGAAGAACTCTTCGCACTCAAAGTAAAAAATTGCAGCAAGAATAAATGTTTTTCAAACACATGATCATCTTTCGGGGCACAGCGATAAATAATTGGATGATGATTCTGATAAGAATTCGAATTTATTTCGAGAATGAGAGTGACGTAACCGGTGGTTCTCTTGAAGGACCCTACTAACCGTTTGCATATAACGGCCACATGCAACACAGGTTTACGGTTTACGCGTCATTATAACGCGTTTCTCAGTTGCCTTGACCGAAGAATGTTAATAAATGGTTCTCAGAGTTGACAGTCGAAACATTAAAACGACTTTTAGGAATCGTTGACTAAGATTTGATTCGGCAGCTACAGGCCTGGAATGGTCTTCTCAAGGGATTACATGGATCACCATTGACAGTGCAGGGTGGATTTTCAAGTCGTCAAGAAGTTATTTATTGTCCACTTTATCCCCTATACACTTTACGTTTCCAGTTTTTATTTAGAAATTTAATTTTTTTAATTTAATTCATATTTCAATTTTATTTAGAAATGTTCGGTAACCATTTTCCAAACGAACTCTAATTGAAGTAATTACCTTATGTATATTGGACTAAGTTTAAGGATGTATTTTCATGTTGATGTGTATTAAGTTTGCTTTTCATGCCATGTTGCCACTCTTGCCATATCCGTTCGCCGACTCATGGCAAACATTCAAGCAAGGATGACGCGTCTGGAATATAAAAAAAATATCGCCGTTAGTCTCTTGAGATGGAATCTGTCTCGGTTAAAATTTTCATTGAATCCAATGACACAAATTCGGCAAGTGTTAACTCAAGCGCGTCGAAAACGAACTCTGGAAAACGTTCCCGTTGCTGCATCGCAGCCAATATGACAGCTCACCAGTTATATGTTTTTCAGCATACAAGCTATACCGTTACCTTCTTATACC